ATTATTATTTTCCGGAGGCAAATGATTAAAAATAAAACCGCTTGGTTCCATACTTTATATTCACCCTGTATATAATTTGAGGATGATATTGATATTTTCAAACGTACTTTAAAAATCTATCATTATTAACAGTGAATTTTATTGTTTATAACATTTTTGAATTTAGCACGTTACAGAGGTGTGCTCTGATTGAAAAATAATTAGTTATGGTTTTGCAACAATTTGCTTATTAAAGTGATATTAATATTTATTACCTCATTGTTTTCTTTCAAAAGGAATTTAAAACATGTCATTAAAATTAGTAAATCTTGTTTTCAAATTTGGTTACTTGCACTTACACCTGCCAAGATAGAAAAAAATGGGCTTGTGTTTCCATCAAAAATATATGCACTATTCTGGATAATATTATTCACTGCAGGAGTGTCCATTTCCTGCATATATAGAAAACCTTTTTACGAAGAAATGACTTTGATAGAACTTATCCTTCAAGTAGCTATGGATATTGTTTTGTTTATTCTAAATATTTCCATTATTACAATAACAGCAACGAAGATGCGTCAATGGCAAAAATTTATCAAGATTTTAAAAACTCTTAAAAGTAATCAAGAAAACGAGAGAAAATTTTGGTTTTTATCTTTTCTTTTAGCAATCACTATGTACATTTAAGCAAAATTTACGAAACTTATATTTGGAGTTCAGTGCTGGGTGTTCTACACTACAAAATGTGCGCAGTGGAGTATTTTCAATTTTATGCTCAATTTATTGTTGTTTACTATTTGGTTTATCTATTTTTGAAATTCATACTAAACGGAGTTGAAAACCTGTCCAAAAATATTAAACTTTTGAAGTTGCAATCTAATCGACTAAATAGTTTTACTTTGAAGAGTATAAAATGGGAATTTTATGCATTGTCAGAATGTATAAATATTTTCAACGATATTTTTGGTTGGTAATATCACAGAAAACACCGTCTCAATTGTTATATTCAAAATAATTCATATTACCTGGCACATGGTTTGTCAGAAATGTTTCTCTATTTTTTTGAATAAATATTGTTTCAATTTTAGGTGGGGACATTTATTGGTGTTTTTTTGTGTGATCTAGTAGAACGAAGAGTTAAAAACATGCAAATGGTAGCACACCAAATTGTAGCAAATTGTGTAGAAGGAAAAGAATATGAAGAAGTAAAAATGCTTGTAGTTGTCATAAAGAGCACTTTTCCACACTTTACAGCCGCCATATTTTTCGATTTAAATCGAAGAACGATTCTTGGTGTTCTTAATGCTCTCGTTTTTAATTGTTGCGATTCAATTTGATTCATTTTGATTCCTGACGAATCTTTATTTTTTATGTGTGTTATTTTGTTTAAAAGATTACATTCAAACTAATACATGTTTTTAAAAATACAAGTAAAGTCTGTTTTTTTTAATGGAAATGTCAAAGAGTCTTTACGTTGACACCTCTAGCAGATTGGTTCATAATAATTTTAATAAGAGAATTTAGCAGTTCCGATCTTTGATTTAATTAAACGTCAGCAAAAAAAATATCTAAGGAAATTTAAAAATGAAAACAGAAAAACGGGGACAAATTGGGTACCGCAAATAGTTTTTGAAAATTTGAAGGTGAAAAGTGTGGAAGCAGAAGTCAGAAAATGACCACCTTAAAATTTAAAAACAACACTTTTTAATTACTTTTAAGAATCTGTAAAAATTAATTTAAAATTTTGATTGCAATTCCAAAGGCAAGTTTTTATTGTTGACAAACATAATTTTCTAGTTATTCATTATGAATACTACGCGATAAAATTGTATTTTATCTTTGAGGCTAATTTGAATTACGTTTGAGAAGATAATTCATATTATTATTAACTGGATACTAATAAATATTTCTAAAATTGCAAATGTATAACTATCTTCCAACATTTTCAACAATCAACAGTGACCATTATGAAAAACACAAAGATAGTTATTAAGATTCTAATAATTAAGTGAATTTGTATCATAATTTTACGTATTTTGTTATTTTCATGGGTACATATCTACAGGGTGTTTCAAGTCTTGGAGTTGAAAATTGACCTAGTAAAAGAAGAGTACAGAAACACTGTAACCGAGAAAAAAACTCACTCAATTGTTATTATCAAGAATGTTATTGAACTCCAAAATATTGTTACACGGTTTGAGGGTCACTGGAATTATTTTCTTGTTAAGATAAAATTGTATTGTTGCAATAGATAAAAAATCGTATCCATGACAATGAAAGAGAAAAGTCACTTCATAGTTTTGACACTGTCATCATTTGATTTGCTTTTGCTTTAGTTTTTATCAAAATTCGAAGATCTTCTGTTTAATCTCTTTCAGCGAATGGTTTCCAATAGGTTTGGTACGTTCTTAATTTTTCTCCAAATTTATAAACATGTAGGTATGGCAAAATATTAAAATAATAAATTGGTTTTCGTGATTATGATTTACGGTGAAGCACAAGGTAATGATACTAATGACCATTGTTGCAGCCGAAGCAGCAGTTTTCAAACAAATAGCGTAAAATGAATAATTTCCTTTAACAACGTGAATTTTTGTTTTATATAGCGTATTAGTTTTCTTCTACCGTGAACATCATCTCATTTAAATTTCAACCTCAAGACCGTAAACACCCTGTATAATAAACAAAAAAAAATTAACAAAACTTTTACTAGAAAATTATAAATTTAAAAGCTTCACACATTTTTATACAAGTATGTTATTAAAATATTCAAGTTGTGAGTGATGTTAATGTAAAAATCAATAATACTGCCAATAAAATTTTTGGTTTTAATAAATATTTAAATTCATGTTATGTTGAAATCAAAGCCAGAAGCCAGAGGTTCTAGTCTCTTGTTCTCTTTCAGACAAATTTTGAAAACAATGTCATTAAAATTAGTAAAACTTGTTTTCAAATTTGGAAGTTTACTAGCACTTACACCTACCAAGATAGAAATAAATGGGCTTGTGTTTCCTTCAAAAGCATATGCACTGCTCTGGATAATACTTTTTGGCCTCCTGACATGTAAATGTCAAATTAACGTACAATTGACACCTATTGAAAGACTGTATTTACAGTCGCCTGAGCATTTTACGCACAGACGAGTGTAAAGTGACAGTTTTACCGCACTGCCAAAATTATCTTCATAGACTTTTATAAAAAAAAACTGTTTGTAAGATGATAACATTTTTAATAAAACGCTCTACACACAACCTTTCAATCTTAGAACTCTTTTTTCTTCACACCACTTTATAATTATAAACACATTGTACTGGGCTTCATACCTTGCTCGCGATTTTTCGGGCAATAGCTCGGTTGTAACATTTCCTGCAGCACTTCTGATTTCTGGTGGGGTACACATGGGGCTATTATCGCTCGACATTTTGAAGCATAAATTCACCAACAAGACAACAATAACAAAACTTTGTGTCTGAGACGTTTTTGCGTCTTTTTTAATTGTTTGACATTAGAGTGCATAGCCACCGTGATATTTAATGTCAAACGTATTTACTTGTATTAATTCTGAATTTTGTAGATTTTTGTTTAAACGTCGGCCAAAAAGCTTAATACAAATCTTGTGCGTTAACCATTTTACAGTGCTCAATTATTAAAGCACTCCGCTGCGCGTCGTGCTTCAAATTCATTTCGCACTGTAAAATGTAAGTTACCGCACACGAATGTAAATAACTAATTCACTGCAGGAGTGTCAATTTCAGCTTTTTACAGAAAAGCTTCGTATGAAAAGTTCACTCCTGTGATACTCACTATTCAAGTCGCTACGGACACAGTTTTCTTTATTCTTAATATTTCTACAATTATAATAACAGCCACGAAGAGACATCATTGGAACAGGTTTATCAATATTTTGAAATTTCTTAAAAGTAGCAATGAAAAGGGAGATTTATTTTGGTTTTTACCTTTTCTTTTAACAAATGTTGTTTTCGTAGTAATTTTTACGTACTACACTTATATTGGGGCTCAAATAATGGGTGTCGATTTCTTTAAATTGTATGCAGTGGAATATTTTCAATTTTACGCTCAGTTTATTGTTTACTATTTGATTTATGAATTTTTAAATCTGATTCTGAATGGATTCAATAGCTTATCCAAAACTATGTGCAAAATTTTGAAGATGCGATCTAACCGATTACACAAATTGTCTTTCAAAAGACTGAAGAGCGATTTTTGTGCATTAGCAGAATGTGTAGAAATTTTCAACAACACTTTTGGCTGGCTTCTTTTACTTTCGATGGGATTCACTACTCTTGAAATATTGAGATCTATGCAGTATTTAATCTCCGGAAAACGAAAATCAGTTCCGATAATTATATACCGAATAATGTTTATTACATGGCATTTGGTTGGTTTTCAAATATTTTCTAACACTTATTTTTATATTTATTGACATTTTAAGATCGGAACACTTAATGGTGTTTTCATCTGTGATTTAACAGAGCAAAGAGTTAAAGTAATGCGAATGGTAGCCTATCAAATTGTAGCAAATTTTGATGGAGATAGAGAAGTTGAAGAAATAAAAAAGCTAATAAATGTAATAAACGACAATTTTCCTCACTTTACAGCTGCTAGATATTTCGACCTAAATCGAAAAACGATTCTTGGCGTTCTTAATGCTTTTTTTACGTTTTTAATTGTTGCGATTCAATTTGAAGACTTGTACAATTAATTAACACTAAAAAAACGTTTGTAATTAAAATAATTTAAGTAGTCTTTCGAGTGTTATGCAGGTCGAAGCTACTGGAATTCTAATAATTAAGTAAATTTGCTTATTTTCAGATTTTTGAATAGCAAATCTTGAAATCTTGAAAATGATACTAATGGAAGGGGTGTCTCTAATGCAAAAATCAATGTTATATACTATTCAAATTTATGTTAAGTACAAAGTCACAAGCCAAAGAGCAGCGTTTCTTGTTCTCCTTCAGTCAGATTATAGAACAAAATGTCATTAAAGCAAGTAAATTTTGTTTAGTTTAGAGCAATACCACCTGCTCTTTTTTCCGTTAAAAGCATATGCACTGTTGTGAGTAACACTATTCACTGTAGGAGTGTTTTAATGTTTAAAACATACACATTATTATGTCGATACTAATAAATATTTCTAAAAATGCAAATAGGTGTCTTATTATTTTCATCAATGAAGAGAGTGATCATTATGACAATCACAAAGTTAGTAATTTGTTACTTTCATATAATAAACTATAAAAATATTTCTAACAAATACTAAATTTTTATAGAAAATAAAAAATCTTTGCACATTTTTATACATGATATTTGGTACCTAAATACTCAAGTTGAGTTGTTAATAATTTAGGAAAAACGTAATATTAAAATCAATGTTATTGACACTAACATTTTTGGTTTTTATAAATGTTGAAATCTATGTTATGTTCAAAAAAAAAACGCAAGCCAGAGGTTTTAGTGATTTGTTCTCTTTCACACAGACTTTAAACAAAATGTCGTTAAAGTTAGTAAATCTTGTTTTTAAAGATAGAAGTTTGCTAGCAATAACACCTAAGAGGGATAAAAAAAAACAATTTTTTTTCTATCAAAAATATATGCACTGCTGTGGATAGTACTATTCACGACAGGAGTTTCGGTTTTTGCTATATTCCTATAGAAAAACTTTTTATGGAAAAATGACTTAGGTAGCACTTACCATCACGTAGCTAGAATGTTGTTTTCTTGATTTTAACTATTTTCACTATTATAATAACACCAACGAATATCAATCAACTTTTTGCAAAGTTTTCAAAATAATAAAAAGAACGAGGGTACACTTTTAGTTTTTACCTTTTCTACTTTCAAACGTTATATGTTCGTATTAAATTTTACTTACGGGACTTATATTTGGACTCAAGAAATAGATGATGGAGAATACAAAATGTATGCTGTGGAGTATTTTCAATTTTAACCTCAATTTATGGTTTACTATTTGATTTATGTATTTTTGAGGCTGATACTACCTAAACAGAGTTGAAAATTTATCCAAGAATATTTATCTTTTGAAGGTGCCATCTAATCGACTAAGTAGTTTTACTTTGAAGAGTATAAAAATGGAATTTTGGGCATTGTCAGAATGTATTTATAAATATTTTCAACAATATTCTTGGTTGATTAATATTATTGTTGATGTCTCCAACAATTGGCAAATTTACTCAGTTTGACCGTCACTGTTTTGACAGAAAACATCGTCTCATAGTTGTCTTCAAAATACTTCATATTACCTGATTGAAAAATAAGCTTTTATTTAAGAAAAAATTCATTAAAAAATAAAAAATTGGTGTCGCATTATTTTTATTCATAAAGATAAGACAGATAATTGTTTGAAAAGAATAATTTACAATCAATAATTCAATAAAATATATCATTAACAAAACCTCATTTAGGTATCAAAAAATTTCGAAATTATCTAAAATTACATGCATTTGTCATTTTGTGCGTGTTACTTTAAACATATAATTTGAAGATGATATTGATATGTTCAAACGTACTTTTAAAATCGACCATTATTAACAGTGGACTTTATTGTTTATAACATTCTTGAATTTACTAGGTTACAGAGATGTGCTCTGATTCAAAAATAATTGGTTATGGTTTTGCAACAATTTGCTTATGAAGGTGATAATAATATTTATTCCATCATCGTTTTCTTTTAAAACATGTCATTAAAATTAATAAAACTTGTTTTCAAATTTGGAAGTTTACTAGCACTTACACCTGCCAAGATAGAAAAAAATGGGCTTGGGTTTCCATCAAAAATATATGCACTACTCTGGATAATACTATTCTCTGCAGGTGTCTTAATTTCAGCTTTTTACAGAAAGGCTTTCTATGAAAAGTCGACTCCTGTGATACTCATTATTCAAGTAGCTACAGACACATTTTTGTTTATTCTTAATATTTCTACAATTATAATAACAGCCACGAAGAGACATCAATGGCACAGATTTATCAATATTTTGAAATTTCTTAAAAATAGCAATGAGAAGGGAGATTTATTTTGGTGTTTACCTTTTCTTTTAACAAATGTTGTTTTCGTAGTACTCTTTACGTTCTACACTTATATTTGGACTCAAAAAATGGGTGTCGAATTCTTTAAATTGTATGCAGTGGAATATTTTCAATGTTATGCTCAGTTTATTGTTTACTTTTTGATTTATGAATTTTTGAATTTGATTTTGAATGGATTCACTGACTTATCCAAAACTATGTGCAAGCTTTTGAAGATGCGATCTAACCGATTACACAAAATGTCTTTCAAAAGACTGAAGAGCGATTTTTGTGCATTAGCAGAATGTGTAGAAATTTTCAATAACACTTTTGGCTGGCTTCTCTTACTCTCGATGGGATACACTGTTATTCAACAATTACTATTTATGCAGTATTTAATCTCCGGAAAGCGAAATTCACTTCCACTAATAACAATGTTTATTACATGGCATTTGGTTAGTTTTCAAATATTTTTAAATATCCATTCTTATATTTATTGAAATTTTAAGGTCGGGACATTTAATGGGGTTTTCATCTGTGACTTAACAGAACAAAGAGTTAAAACCATGCGAATGGTAGCGTATCAAACTGTAGCAAATTTTGATGGAGAAAGCGAAGTTGAAGAAATAAAAAAGCTGATAGATGTAATAAATGACAATTTTCCTCACTTTACAGCTGCTAGATTTTTCGACCTAAATCGAAAAACGATTCTTGGCGTTCTTAATGCTTTGTTTACTTTTTTAATCGTTGTGATTCAATTTGAAAGCGTGTACAATTAATTAGCACGAAAAAACCTTTGTAATGTAATAATTGGAATTTGTGGGATATTAATTAACCCTTAAACTCCTGAATTAATTTTATAATCCTTTGCGGTGTATTGTGTATTTGTAAAATTCAGAGTAAAGATAATTTGTTTTATTCAGTTCTGAAATCTTATTGCTGTCCGGCTGCCCCAGAAGTTTTTTTACTTAATAATTGTTTTCACGGAAATTAATAAAAGAAATTATCAATTTTTTGAACAGAAGAATACTTCGTCACCGTTTTGAGCAAGAATTTACTTTAGCTTTGATCAGTAAAGAATTTGCGTTGTATTGTTGATGCAAAAGACGCACCTTGCTATGTAATAAGAAGCAAACTTAAAAAATCGAATCGTAAAAGCAATAAAATGATTTCGCTTCTAAAAATTCATCGCCCTGATATCGCAGAACACAACCTTTAAGCATTTTTTATGAAAAAAAAAAATGCGAATCTGCCCTATGGGTTTCTAAGAACGTTATTGCGTAACGTTTAAAGCAGTTAACAACTCCAAAGAAAAAAAATGAATCAATAATGCCTTTATGGTTTTTTTTATGTTAAGAAACAAAAATAATTTTAAAATAAGTCATTATATGCCTTCAAAACATTTTAAAAGTAATTTCGTATATACAGGATGTGTCAAAACTTGCACCCCAGAGAAAAATTTCAAGTAAGATAAGATACTATGAACATGGAAAAAATGTTTAAAGAATTCCATCTGACAAAAAATTTTAACATTTATTTTTTGACATTTGACATTTTTATGTCTATTTAATAATACTGATGATCTTCTATATGTTTTTTATAACTATTTAGTAATGGTACACTTGAGTGCAAAAAACGCAAATTGTCAAAAACAAAATTGTCATATTTTTCAGACATTTACATAGTATGAAAAAGTTTATTCCCAAAAAGGTTAGAAAACAATTTTAAAAAATGTCGTATTTGGTGGTCTTGTCAATGCAGTGTCTTAGTTTTAAAAATGAAATGGAAAAACCCTGATAGAAAAACTTCTATCTTTCAAACGGAAGATGCCTGACATTTATGAAATTGTGAATTGTGACAAAGACAACGTCAAAATACTGACATTTATTAACAGGCCTAACTACATTATAAAAAAAAACAATGTGCGTTTTTTTGCACTCAAATGTACGAACATTTTACCAATACAAGCGACAAATAACATTAAACAGAGTTACAATTTAGGATACAGCTTCCTTCTTTTCTCTCCTAATAGCCTGTAGCAAAAAAAATCTTAGAAAATTATTTTTCCATCTGAAATAGAGTCAAAGTGGAAAATCTAAACTCTGTATTAACTTCGAAATTTTTATAGAAAGCATTTTTTAACATTTAATGATAATTTAATAAATTCGCAATAATAAATGTTTTTAAAAATACAAGAAGTTAAATTTTAATTGAAAAAGTTGCAAATAAGTGTCGCATTATTTTTATCAATAAAGAAAAGACAGATTATTGTTTGAAAAGAATGATTTACCATCAGTAACTCAACAAAATATATCATTAACAAAACCTCTTTTAAGAATAAAAAAATTCGAAATGATATAATATTACATGCATTTGTCATTTTGTGCGTGCTACTTTAAATATATAATTTGAGGATGATATTGATATTTTCAAACGTACTTACTTTAAAAATTTATCATTGTTAACAGTGGACTTTATTGTTTATAGCATTCTTGAATTTAGCCGAGTACAGAGATGTGCTCTGATTCAAAAATAATTGGTTATGGTTTCGCAACAATTTCCTTATGAAGGTGATAACTGATAATATTATTTATTACCTCATCTTTTTCTTTCAATAAAACATGCCATTAGGATTAGTAAATCGTCTTCAAAACTTCTATTATTTGCATTTTTATCAATAACTCGATAACGAAGAACAATTGGAATTATTAATATTCTTAATTTTCGATTTGTGTTAGCCCCTTGAATCCAATTATCCTGCATAAGTACGTTACTTAAATATTCATATTGAAAGTGATGTTAACGACAAAACATAATGTAAAAGTTCATGTTACTGACAATTACACATTTTTGGTTTTTAGAAATGTTGAAATTTGTATTATGTTGAAAACAAAGCCAAGCCAGAGGTTCTCATCCCTTGTTCTTTTTTAGATAGACTTTGAACAAAATGTCATTAAAGTTAGTAAATCTTGTTTTTAAATTTGGAAGTGTACTAGCACTTACACCTGCCAAAATAGAAAAAAATGGACTTGTGTTTCCATCAAAAACATATGCACTACTCTGGATAATATTATTCACTGCAGGAGTGTCCATTTCCTGCATATATAGAAAACCTTTTTACGAAGAAATGTCTTTGGTAGAACTAATCCTTCATGTACCTACGGATGTTGTTTTGTTTAGTCTAAATATTTCCATTATTACAATAACAGCAACGAAGAAGCGTCAGTGGCAAAAATTCATCAAGATTTTAAAAGCTCTTAACATTAATCAAGAAAACGAGAGAAAATTGTGGTCTTTATCTTTTCTTTTAACAACCACTTTATACGTTTTAAGCAAAATTTACGAAACTTATGTTTGGAGTTCAGTGCTGGGGGTTCTACACTACAAAATGTACGCAGTGGAGTATTTTCAATTTTATGCTCAATTTATTGTTTACTATTTGGTTTATCTATTTTTGAAACTCATACTGAACGGAGTTGAAAACTTGTCCAAAAATATTAAACTTTTGAAGTTGCAATCTAATCGACTAAATAGTTTTACTTTGAAGAGTATAAAATGGGAATTTTGTGCATTGTCAGAATGTATAAATATTTTCAACGATATTTTTGGTTGGTTAATATTATTGTTGATACTATTTTGTTTTCTCCAACAATTGGCACATTTGCACAGTTTGACCGTCACTAATATCGCAGAAAACACCGTCTCAATTGTCATATTCAAAATAATGCATATTTCCTGGCACATGGTTAGTCAGATGTTTCTTTATGTTTTTTTGAATAAACATTTCTTCAATTTTAGGTTGGGACTTTTATTAGTGTTTTTTTGTGTGATCTGGTAGAACAAAAAGTTAAAAATATTCAAATGGTAGCGCACCAAATTGCAACAAATTGTGTAAAAGAAAAAGAATATGAAGAAATAAAAACGCTTCTAGGTGTCATAAATAACACTTTTCCACACTTTACAGCAGCCAGATATTTCAATGTAAATAGAAAAACGATTCTTGGTATACTCAATGCTCTTCTTACATTTTTAATTGTTGCGATTCAATTTGAAAACTCAAGCTTTTCTTGAACTAGATACAATGTTTACATTTTTTATTTTTTTTAGTTTTGTTTTTAAAGAAAAAGGAAAATATTTAAATTTCTTGGATTTTACGTACGCCAGCGGAAATTGGCAAGAATATTGGAAGCAATTATTTCTATTTACATTATCACCAACATTAGACACATAAAATACACTAGACTGTTAGCGCACCCAAACGAGTTCGTTAATAGCGTTCTCCATTGCTTATCTTTAAAAGCAAAATTTAAAAAAAAAACTAAACGACAAACATTTGTGCATGACGTTGAACATTAAAATTGAGAGTTATATTCACCGAACGTTACAATAAAAATCAATATATTACAGAATATTTTTATTTAAAAGTCAACCATGTTATTAATTGTTACAGTCGCAAGTTGTTACTTCATGAACAGTTACTATATGAGACTGGTCATCAAATTTACAACAGATTTGTAAATTTCTCATACGAAAGGTGTAATAGTGTCCAGTCCACTTTGCCCTTAAGTATACTGATCTAGGATCCTCCCTAAGCACCTTTTCAATGTCTGCTTTAATGTCCCCATCCTAAAAAAGTGTTGTTATTTTAATTTGACCAAAATCCTACTTGTATTACATCTCTTTTGAAGTTATTCAACTGAATCAAAGCGCTTTCTTCAAAAACTACTCTCAAAGTTTTAACTGTCGAATTATCAATCCAGGGTGGTACACTAACACTTTCTGCTGTAAGGGGGCTATCATATTGAGGAATGTACGGTTTTATATCAAACACAGGAGTTTCATCAACAACGTCAACACCAGAAAAATAAACATTGTTTTCTTCAATTCTGACAATTTTTACCAATGACAAGCCTATAGGATTTGGTCTGTGGGGTGATCTACTAGCAAAAACTCCCGTTCTGTCTCCATTTAATCTAGGAGGGGCCACTTTGGCTTTTTTGTGCGCCGTTTGGTTCTTGTGGAAATGAAACAGAATCCTAAAAAAAATTTTAGTTATAAAACATGTCAACCATTCACGCCTTAGTAATTTTTGTCAAGTCCACCAACCTACAACCATGAAAATCACTATTTTACTCATCCAACTATGCAAAAATTAATAAGGCGTTTGTGTACCAACCACATATGCGAAAAGTCCTCCAAACCCTCCAGTGTGTGCTCCGGATTGGTGAAAACGTCATTATTTAGTGATAATTTAGCGACTGTTTCTGAACAAATGGTTGGCTGTCTGGGGGTTCCCCTCTTTTCAGGAAACTGTGTTCTAATTATACCAATATTTCGCATTTTTATATTAGTATCTGATGGTTTTTTAGGAAGTGATGGCGACACTGCTTGGGTTTTACATCCCAAACAGCGCCAATTTTTTAAATCCTCTTTGATTTTTTCACATTCTTTTTTATGAATGAAACTTAAAGCTTTAAGTTGCTTACTAAAAATGTTTATTATATTTGAGCAGAAACAGGGGATTAATACCGTAAATTGTTAATTTCACGCCGAGCCAACCCCAATTGATTTTCGAGATTTTTTATTAATTCTTCTTTTTTGCAAGTGGACATTTTAGTTTAAAATCTAATCTAAAAAAAAACACAGTTTTATAATTATTTTTTGAACATAACCTAAACCTTCTTCTAGTGTAGGCAACCAAACTTACTATAGTTCCAAAAAGTGAAAACCAGGCAAGAGGGCGCTTTTTACTTCTCTATCTCTTTTTATTCCATGTATGAAACAAAATGGCGCTGGTGGGAGTTTCGTGAGACTACTTTGTGAAATCAATTGTGCAATATTCTGATAAAATGTTCATAAAATGAAATAATGTAGACTTGTTGTATAAAACTACTTTGCATATATCGAAAGTAGTGTCGTTAGTGTTTTATTTTGAATTTTACAAGAGAAAAGTTATATTTTATTCAGTCACTTTGCAAGATACCTACCTGTGAGTACTTATGTGTATGTATTGTGTGTTAAAGTGTGACTTTTTATTTAATTTATAATAATATAAATGTTACATTCTGCGAAATTAGTGTATAGTTGAAAAAAAAACTTTGGTACTTATTTTGAGGAAGCATCAAGTTGCCACCTGTAACCATGGAGAAACAAATGTCCGAAGAACTTTTAATACCCCTTTCTTCAGGTTTGTGTTATTAGAAATAATGAAAAATGACAAATTTTTATCAAATTTAAGTGTTTAATAATTTGATTGCATATTTTTGTATACTAAACATTCTTTAATTATTATTTATTTGACAGATGACACCGGAGAACGTTGACACGTTTGTTATCATAACAGCATTACAAACACCAGAACAGAATTTTAATGTTTATAAACATTTCTATTATTGATAATTATTATTGCGCTGCTTGTTATGGTGTATCAAATGTGAACACCACCTGTTGAATTTTGCGGTTGTCTGAGTACCAGGTGTTTTAATTTAAAAAACAAAAAATGTCTAAAAATGACAGTTTTTATGTTACATTTCTTCGTATCGCATTGAGTATATTTTCGAAATTGGCATGAATTTTCATGTTGTGGCAATAGAATGTACTGAAAAACCTTGTAAATACGCCAATAATAACGTGCCATATACGCCAACAAGAAAATTGGAATGGTTTGTTGAAAAATTTATGCAAGGAATACGAAATATTTTTAGATTTTAGTTGATATTTAATGCGGAAGTAAAAGTAGATAATGGATTCGACGAAAACAATTCGATAACAAGATAATATACCAGGTGAATAAAAAGTATGGAACCAAACGTTTTTTGCCTGAACTATTTATTTTTTTGGAAAAACTATTTGATGAATGATTAAGTACTATTAAAATGTGATCAAGAATAAAAAATTTCGATTTTTTTTATTTTTGAATTCTACAAAATTTTTATTTTTTTTAAATGACAACCCACTATAATATCCTTTTTCTCATGAAGGTTATGATCTAAGGATTATTTTTTTACAAAAGTTGTCATTTTCACAAAAAAATCGCATAACTTAAAAACAAAACAAAATTTCGTTCTCAAAATACGATCACATTTTTATATTACTTTTTTACATTTCATTCATTTTTATGGAATACATTTTTATATAAGTTGGCATTTTGAAAAAAAAAGCCAAAACTCATAAACAAAACATTTTATTCTCAAAACACGTCTTTTTTGCATTTCTTTTATATTAAAATTATTATTTTTTAAAGCAAATGATTAAAAAAAAAACGCTTGGATGCATACTTTTTGTTTACCTTGTATAATATGCGTTCTAAGGAAAATAGTTTAATAGTAATAAATTAATCTCGTGTTAAAACATTGGTAATGCTTATTTTGATGCAATACTAACATTTCACATTTCTTATTTGCTAAACTGTTGAATATAAAAAATATAGTTTTATTTAAACTTTGAACAATCATTCATAAATGTGCATTTATCTATTTTTTATCATTTATTTCACATCTGTGAAATCTATTCCTAAACATTAAATTCAAAGACCTCAACATCAATTATTTTAATATTAAAATGCATATACATACAGGCTGTCCCAGCGAATTGAAAACTCCATTAATGACCTTTAAATAATAAAATAAAAAAAAAAAATTAAATAGGACATTGATATGATACTAATCTAGTCCATCGCTTAAAATTATTTTCAACTATACCTACAGCGTGTCTCAAAAATAAGTTACAATACAAACCTGTGTTTTTTTAAATAAAAAATCATAGGTTTCTTAGCGTTTTTGGATGTAGATTTTTATAAGGTAAACTTTTATTGGTCGATTTTGCTTAGTTTTAAAAATAAGACGGTTTCTTTAACGAAAACATGCACTTTTTAAAAATTCATTACACAAAAACTAAGACATCTAGAAATATTTTTTTACTACCGCAAAGAAGAAAGTACAAGCAATAAGGTTGTAACATTTTTTTAGTGTTGCATTTGCAGAGATAAAAAATGAAGGCGTTTGTTAAAAGTTCAATAACTTAAAAAAATTTAACTGAAACACCCTATTTATTGTTTTTGCATTTAAGAGATTATTAAATTGTCTTTCTGAAATTATTTACTTTTAGGTGTTTATAATCAGTAGCTAAAAAGATATTTAACGTTAAATATTAAAAAAAAATAATTACTATTGTTTCAGTAGCCAAAAAGTGCACAGTTGCACAAGAGATGGCAAAAATATCACTTAATAATCACATTTGTGTTAAACTGAATTCATTATTCTTTATTTTTACAATAAAATAATAAAATGGCTACAGCTTTAAATTCTGTACTTTCTTCTTTGCAGAAGTAAGAAAAAAAAATTGTTCTAGCTGTCTTAGTTTTTGTGTAATAAATTTTTAAAAAGTGCATGTTTTCGTCAAAAAAACCGTCTTATTTTTGGGACATGCTGTATAGTTGAAAATAATTTTAGGTGATAGATTAGTATCTATCAACATCCTACATAATTATTTTTAAATTTTACTATTTAAAGGTTTATAATGAAGCTTTTCAACTCGCTGGGACACCCCGTATGTATATTACAAAAGAACTAACTCTATTCTCGTAAAATATGAAATAGAATTCAATTATACACAAAGTATTGACGTTTGCAAGCTTCCGCCATATGACTGCGAATACACCTGTATAGGGGCATTTTGTAAAGGTTACAATAATAAACATTCATTATTCATGTAAAACATTCATTTCATAATGTTATAAATAATAACACTACAGGGAAAATACCATTTGTTAACGCAAAATTGCAATATGAAGCTGCCGAAGATTCTTTTTTATCTCGTATTAACATCACTGTTTCGTGATAACTGATGTATTCTCAAAATAGTAGATTTGTCATCAAATGAACTGTATCAGAATCATATTTTATTCTGATGTCACCAATGTAGCAGGGACATTTAATTTGCGGAAAATATTAAATTGTATTTAAATTTAAATGTATTTAAATATCTCTGAACACTCTTTTGTACTAATAATTTTTTTTTATCAATTTACCTTGAAAACTGTAAATTATCTTTTGACAATAAACATTTCATTGTCATTTGGTTTACAAAATTTGAACATACTAGCATTTATTTTATAAAATTCTCATCTTTCTTAAAACCTCAAGACAAGCCGTGTTAAAATAACTGTACCATTTCTAAAGCAGGTGAATTCTGTTTCTATGGAAAATTATTAATTTGCATGCATTCTCACACCTAAAAGAGGCATTGTTGCGTGTGATTTTTTATGTTTTATGCTTAATTCCGTTAGAGCGATAAAAATAGTTCTCAACATTATGGTATTTCAGATTAAAATAAAAATAGAAAATGCCTACACTGAAATACCTCAATAATTAATTTTATTGTTGTGAATAAATACAGTCGAACCTCGATAGTCTGTACGTCTCAGTTTGATGATCGCTGAAAAAATGACAAGCAATAATTAGAAAATGGAAATACTGATTTTTTACCATCAGTTTTTTATTATTTTACAGAGAGTAAAAATTTGTTGTTAAGATTGTGAATGTCACTTTTTATTAATTTTCAAATGTACATACTTTAATTCAATCAACATTTAAATGGTGACGACCGTTAGATGTTCTATTCTGGAATTCTGTTTCGGAATTCTTGTGCTAGTTTTTGATTTTAAGCATTTAGTTCCTACGTGAACGCATTTATGCAAAATTTGATTTGTTGGTTTTTGTGTTGGCACTACTGCATTTTATTTTTATATAGTACAGGGTGCTGCATTTTGGATGTCCGAATAGGGAATCTCCGAAACTAAGAGGTTTAGCCAAAAACGAGTAATACATTTTGGGGCTCATTTTTTGAGAAAATAATATTGGTTAAAACCGCATCTCGCTATCGTCTTTTGCTCTCGACTTAAAGACAAAAATTGACATTTTAGCGAAATCTAAAAAAATTCATATCTTCGTTATTATAGAAGACACAGATTTGAAATAAAGACATTATACAGGCACTTTTTTACGTAGAATTTAATAATGTAGTTAACAATTTTTTTCAGTTGTTTGTTTAGCCGTAATAAAATAAACTTGTATTTTTTTAAATGGGAATCGTAGATAGCTATGTCATTTTTAAAAAGCTTGTTTTTTTATTATCTAAAAAATATATATTTGTAACAAATTATTATAATACATTTTTAGCAAAAAATTATCTTTGATTTTTGTTCGCAGTTGGCCATGAAAAAATGTTGCATCTTCGACTAAAAGGATTTAAACTATATTATATTCAACCAGTGTCACTAATGAAAGAGTTTTCTAAGTACTAAATAATGAAAAAGATGCAAAATAAATTGTAAATCAACTTATTGGCGACATTTCTTTGTTTTTAAACAAGCTAACATTACCATTGCAACTTCTAGTGATACATAGAGAGTTGTAAAAAAATGCCGCTTTAATTCTTCAATAAAATATATTTTATATGACACAAAAATGACGATATGGCTATTCAAATGCCCAAATTCCATCTATGTGAAACGTTATCCTACCTCCCCTAGATCATCTGAAAAATGTTTTTTCTAATTGTGTTGACTGTTGACACATTTGTTTTTCCTATTTTTGGATTTTTTAAAAATATGTAATAATTTTGTTCTGAGGCGCTCTCATATTTGTTCAATGCTTCTACCGAATCGTATTTTTTAAATCTTTATAATTTTATCTATTTTTTCATCTATTTTATAGTTCACAAAACTCTTATTGATTATTATTTACACATTTGGAGTGAAATAGTTTTTCCATGGCCAACTATTATCACACAAAATATGTATTTCACTTTTTAAGTATAGTTATAAAAAAATATTTTGTTACAAATATATATTTTTTAGATCAGAAAAAAATAAGCTTTTCAAAATTGCCATAGCCGCCTATGATTTCCATTTAAAAAAAATACAAGTTTATCTTATTACGGCTAAACTAATAACTGAAAAAAATTGTTAACTATATTATTAAATTCCTCCTAAAAAAGTGCCTGTATAATGTCTTTATTTCAAATCCGTATCTTCTATAATAACGAAGATATAAATTTTTTTAGATTTCGTCAAAATGTCAACTTTTGTCTGTAAGTCGAAAACAAAAGACGATAGCGGGATGCGGTTTTAACCAATATTATTTTCTCAAAAAATGAGCCCCAGAATGTATCACTCGTTTTTGACTAAACCTCTTAGTTTCGGAGATTCCCTATTCGGACATCCAAAATGCAGCACCCTGTACACTGATTTTGATTTAGCCGAATCTTAGTTTTTTCTATTATTTGCTGCATTGAATAATAATTTTGTTGTGTAACACCAACTAAATGCACCTAAAACGTTATCTAAACCGTGACACATTCGCAAGATAACAAAAGTATTTGTTAATAGTCTTGTATTTTGAATCAGTAATACTTTTTAAAACTTTTTAGTAACTAAGCAAATTTTTTAACTGAGGAGGGAAATGATTAATTGAGTAAATCTTGAAATTGGTTCGCTTATTGATTGATGTTTCCTCAAGTTTTTTTTTCTTGGTGCAGTTCAGATATTGAGCATGTCTCGCACCTTTTAATTTTTAATTTTTATTATTGTTTTATCTACTTTAGGGGTTCTAATCCTGACATCATTATGACAAACTGAATAGTGAAAGCGCAAGCGCTTGCAATCGATTTAGCGTCACAACTGCCCAGGCCAGACATCTTCAGTGCTACTGGAACTTTGTTGAATTTGTGAATGTCACACTGTCTTTTCTAATACAACAGGTATAAGCTATTTGCTTCAAAATAGTTTTTTTTTGTTTAGGATGTTTTAAGGCATGTTTTTCTCTTATGTTATGCTTTTTGTTAGACGTGACAAAAAGGACACTTGTTACGTTTATTTGTGACAAATTTGCATTTGAATTTTTCCAATTTTTTTACTTTTTTTAGTTTTTAGTTTAAACTTAACTTGTATTGCTTGGGCAGTTTTCTGTGTTTCGACACGTAATCTGTTCTTTAACACGGCGAGATAAGTGTCAGTTCGGGCATAAACTCGATATTAGATGTTTTTATAGAATTTGTTTTTAAGAAAATTTTTCATTTATTCAAACTACCAAGTTAAATAATTCAGCAAGAAACTTGACAGTTGTGTATAAAAAACATAGGATTTTATTTGTTGCTAACTTAACGACAAAAACAGTCATTTATAGTCTCCCTGTATTTTTAATAAATAAACACAATTACGTTAAAATTGAGGTTTTTACTTGCTTTAAATTAAAATTTTGTATTGAAAATTAATGGAGAGAAATCAATATCCGCATATTAAACATCTATTTCAGTGTAATTAATATATTATATTACGATGAATCTTAGGACATTTTTGATCTATTTTGAAACTGCCATGTATAAATAATTCAGCAAGAAGTGAATGATAGTTGTGTATAAAAACAGGATTTAATTTGTTGCTAATTTAACGACAAAAACAGTTATTTATAGTCTCCCTGTATTTTTAATAAACAAACACGATTACGTAAAAATAGTCAGTTTTTTACTTGCATTAAATTAAAACTTTATTTTAAAATTCTATTTTGAAAATTAATGAACAGAAATCAATATCCGCATATTAAATATCAATTTCAGTGTAATTACTCATTAATATAATTAAAATCTTTGATATATTTGGAAACTACCTTGTGTAAATAATTCAGCAAGAAGGGTTACTTTTTTAAACCTGAATTACATAAAATTTTGTTTGTTGCCAACTTAGCGACAAAAACATACATTTATAGTCTTCCTGTATTTTTAATAAATGAACACAATTATGTAAAAATAGACAGTTTTTTACCTTCTATTAAAAAATAATATAGAAAAATCAATACCCATATTTTAAACATCCATTTCAGTGTAATTAATATATAGATACATCACGATGCACCTATAAATACCTCGAAGTAATAGGTCAACAACGATATTGTTACGTTGAATATTTCGTAGAATCTAGTTACAAGAAAACTCAATTTATATGTATAGCACTAAAAATGTAGCTAATATTTGCAACACTTAACATAAAACTGGTCATTGTTCATCCAGTAGCTTCTTGACGTATACATAGAATCTATTGTGCTTAAAATACTACAAGTCAATAGTCATAAAAAAATCTAGATTTGGGTATTTTTATGCGTTTAAAACTTAATCACAATTTGTGAACAAAGTGACCTGTGACTTTGATAGTAAATTGGCATCACCGATAGCGTTGCCAGTTCAAAAAAAATAAATTCACCAGATTCGAGCTGAAAGAATTTTCGGATTTTCCCCATATTACCAGATTTAAATTTTTATAATATGAGTACTGTCGAAAGTTTCAGTTTTGATCGAATTAGCACTTTTTTGACTTGTTTTTAACGAAACTTGGGGATTTCCCCAAATATTTATTTACCTTGTTGCCTGAAAAACGTGTTAAAATGTTGACTTGATTTGGTGTTTTTTTTTATTTGTTTTAGCAAAATTTTTCAAAAATCTGAAATTATAGTACAAAAACCTGCTCGTGAAAGGTGAAGTTTCAACTAAATTTTTTTTCGGCTTATTTTTTGACAAAATTTTATTCAAAAATTAGCTAAATTGAATGAAACATACGAAATAACAAAAATTTAGATTTATTTTATAATTTTTAAACATGTTTTGACAAAATCTTGCAAAATAAATGAGTCTCTGTTTCAAAAGTGAACTAAATCGAGCAAAATAAGCTAAAATTGATATAATTTGAAATTGATAAATTTCAACTTAATTTGGTAAATTTTCAACTAGTTTGAGCAAATTAAAAAAAAAACTTATTAGTATTTATTTCAAAAAGAAAACGCTAAAAGTGCTCAAGTAACGCTAATTTTGTCTTAATTTGGTAAATTTTCGGTTTGTTTTTAACGAAATTTTGAAATAGTTGAGAAAATTGGCAAAATAATAAATAATAAAAAAGCTAAAAAAAAACGTGCAATATGCTCATAAAAACAAAAAGTCATAATTTTGACTTAATTTACCACTCGTAAATAAATAATAAAAAATAATTAAATAAATAATTAAAAAATTAAGTTTTGTTTCTTGACGATTGCGCAAAAAGTTAATTTTACTAATGTTTGGACGAATACACGATTTAAAAGATAATTTCAAAATATATTATTTTTCTGCTTAGGTACAGCTACATTAAAAAAAACGGGAAATGAAATTTTTCTAAATGTAAATTAGGTTCTAGTTGTCAATTGTCAACTTGACAATACGTATCAAAAATATTTCTATCAATGGCATTAAATTTATACCAACTTGTGTAATGCCACATTTAAGTGAAGTACAGATTTGTCAACAAGAAATTACCACCTAGGATTTGAATTTTTAGGAAAATTACGTTTTTCATATTGTTTGTAACTAAAATTTTCAAAAGCAATTTTGAATGCCTAGAATTGGTTACCCCTTGTGTTGTCAACTATTAAATGAGTTATCTATACAAGCTGACAGGTGACTTAACCTAAATTTTTGACACTAGTTACGATATCTTTTGTTTCTCACTACAAACCAACCTAACCAAATTTGTGGCAACCTATTCACGAATATCCCTAAATCCTAGGGAGTAATTTCTTGTTGATACGATAATAGAGAAAGTCATAATCGTCGTTCACTTGGAAAATGGTAGGAAAATTATAAATTTAGCATCAGAATTTAGAGTGCCATCAAAATATTTTAAGCTATTTTTAATAAAACATGGAAAAATTGAAAAAAAAAACTCTAATTTTTTTGACATTTTCCGTTTTTTTTTAATGTAGCTGTACCTACATTTCTAAAAAAAAATCGTCAGATATTAGAATTTTTACAAAAGTTTTCACCAAATCCCTAGATTAGCATAATAATTACCAGATATGGTGAAATTTCACTATAGGTCCGCCATTTTGTTACACTGAAAATGCGACGTTGCCATTTTTAGAGAGATGTGTTTCAATTTTATCGTTCTTTCAGACGAATGTGGCCACAGTGGCGGCGAACCAGATAGTGACGAAGACGTCATCACAAACTACCATATCCCAAGCTTGGATATGCTTCCTCGGCCAGGACCTTTGCCCACGATCAGTGTCACACCCCATTCACCAGCCAGTAAAATATACCCAGTTTTAGAAGACAGTCTTCAGCAAGTTCGAGAATTACATGAGAGTGTCCAACATATGCGAAATGTCACTATACCGGGTGAGTATTCTTTGATCATTGAACCCAAATGACATTTGAGGAGTTATTTATGAAGCGATGTGAAGCTCTATATTTTAACGTAACTTTGTATCAAGTTTCACTAGTCTAGTAATTAAGTTACAAGTTAGATGGGGGCCCCTAATTAGGTTTTGACTTTTCTTCTAGATACGTACATACCGAATTCGAAAGATCTTGCTATTGCACTTAATCCCCTCCTGTCTCAAATGGCACGGCTTAGCTCAAGTTGCCCTACACTCAACGAGGCAAATCAAGACATGGACTTGTTGGGGGGCTCGTTGGGATCCTCCCCGGTGCACCAGAACCGCAAAGGAAGTGCCACTCAAGACTGGCTCTGCCAGCCTGAGACACAACGAAGACGCTCATGGTCGGCCCTCGAAGACCTCACAGTGAAAGACAAAGCGAAACATACACGCCAGCGAAGGTAAAACCCACAAAACTGGTCAACACAAAATCGAATTGCCCCCATTTCCAGCATTTCCTTGAGTAGTATGGAATCAGAAGCGGACGAATCGTCATTTGTAGATAACGTAGATGGCAGCACTACGAAATTACTGGGTCCTGATGCTCCCGTTGTGCTGCGACATCGGAATGCGAGAGGGTCAGGGGGCGCCACTAGTACTCATTCGTTGAACGAAGCTGATTTACAAGTAATGATTTTATTAAAGTTTGTTTGGTTTTAATATTGCGATTACAGAATGATTTTAATAAAATTAAGGCGAAAAGGGAGGCGGAACAGAGGTTGTTGCCGCAGCGGTTGCCTTTACAGAAATCTATTTCCACGCCTTCTATTATTGCGGTTCGAGATTTGGCCCCGGAACCCATCCTGGCAGGGGCCCAACCCACTCTTCCCATGTAAGTTCTGGTTCAATTGGATGCCTTAAGACACCTTGGATCAATATTAATAAGTCTGCAAAAGTACAGTAGAACCTCGATACTTCGAACTAATCTATTTTTTGATTATAAGATTTATTTAAAAAGTGTGTAATAAAATACACAGAGTGAGTCTGTTAAGAGTACCCAGTGGGGCATCCATGCCCGTTACGCGCAAAAAATCCCCACTTTTTATTAAATAAAATTGATGAAATTTTTCTCACTTACCTAGGCATTCAAAAGGTACAGTTGGAGACAAAATACTTTGGTAGTCACTTTTCTGACACTTTAATGTAATTCAAGCTTTAACGTTAAAATGAATGACAATTTCAAATTAATAACAGCTGTTATATTTTTCTATCAAAAATATGTACAGTTGCGGAATTAAAATTTCTAAAACAACCTTTACATTAATAAACTCATTTTTTACTCTTGTCATGTTTATGTCATTTTGACTTAAAAAATAGCGTCATTGACAGAAAAGTTAATTGTCAAATGTCAGTCATGGTGACATAAAAAGGTAGTTTACAGTGAACTTTTTGAAGTGCCAGAAAAATACTGCCCGAAATTTTAATTCCGTAACTGTACATACAACTTGTCAACTATGATTGACAGTAGCTAAAAATAAGGTTAACAGTCCTAAAGCATGCTTTACAATTTAATGTCACTCAAGTAACATTGACGGCCGAAGTATTTTGTCTCCAACTGTACATTTCATAATGTTTTGGTATTTTTTTTATTTGCAAACAAACCCAAAAAAAAAATACTCACTTCCTGTAATTATTTACGAAATCAGAAAAAAATACCAATTAGATTTTGAGCCCCAATCAGTGTCAGACTTGTGACGGATTTTTTGCAACTACATAGTGAAATAGGAAAACAACTCTCATTATTTGGTATCCGAAAGAATATTTTTCACTCTGAAATGTTTTTACTTGTTTTTTAAACCGAATTTTTATGAGATGTTCCCACAATCTTAGGAATAATATTGTATAATTAACCCTTATTAATTCGTCTAAAAAATTAATTGGTTGACACTTGCTGTTCGGGTTCGGATTAAAGAGGTTGGACTGTACTTTCTGAAAAAATAAATAAATGAATTTTACAAGAATTTTTTAATAAAGATTTTTGATTCATAATTATAGTTATTCAAGGAGAAATGTTTTAAAATGCATCTTATTTTTATTTATGATGGGGAAGCAAAATTATTTAAAAACTGTTGCATTTTCTGGAAAATAAACAGTTTACGTACTTGGTTGTAGACTTTTTGCTTCTAAAGAAACTTTGTTTTTTTATGGTAGTCAATTTGGGTTTAAAACTACTCATTTTTAGTTCAATTATTATTGAAATTAGAAAGACATTCATGTAGATTAGTTTTATATTTTTATACAGGTGTCCGGAAATTGGATTCACAAACTTCTAAGGGTAATTCGCTACCTCAAATTGTAAAGAAAAGTTCTTATGAACATGGGTTTAAAAAAGCTTACGATCCTGTAAGGGTGTGCCTTCAAATGTACTTTTTTTAAATATTTTTTTTAATATTTTAATTAGAAAAACAAACCCATGCACCTGTAGGTTTGAAGAACGCAAACTACGTTTTTATTCGTTACATTGTTTCAATTACGTCGACATTGTATCTCGAAAACAGTGCCTTCTACAACATTTTACCCAGAGGACATTTTTTATGAAAAACTGTTTTCTATCTTATTATGGAATTAAATTTGCAAAAAGTTTTAAGAGAAACAAGAACAAGATTCAACAATTTTATTTACGTCAATCGACTCAGTATCCTAAAAAACCTACGGGTGTGTGGTTTGGTTTTTCTACTAAAATATTAACAAAAATACTTAAAAAAAAGCACATTTGAAGGCCCACATTTTCAGGGTAGTAGTGTGGAATTACCCCTAGAACTTTGTGCACGCAATTTTCGGACAGCCTGTATAAATACATAGTGATTTAAAAGGATCGGAAAATCTCTTATTTGGCGACAGAAAACGTTAATAGAGGCTCAGATTTGCTTTTATAATTTTTCCTCCGTAGTTTTGAAAATATGAATATTTCAATGAAAAAAAAAACGCACGAGCATAATTTATCATTTGTGTTATTGCTAGGTAGATTACTTTTTTAGTACCCCTCGTAGCACAAATTGGCAATGCTGCAGTACATATTGAACCATCTTGTGCCTGCACTCAATAATTAGAAACCTTTGTTACTATAGAAACCAACAAATTTTTGATTCACTGTTCCCAACTTCACTTCTTCATAAAATCTCTACATTTGACATTTCTACGTCTTACTTATTATTCTTAAGATTTTATTTATTTTTTAGTATTCTATATGTGTCAACGTCTCTTAATACTAAGACACTAAATTACCTTCTTTAATTAATAAAAAATTGATATTAAAATTGCATTTTTAAAAAGTTATATCTACCTAAAGTTAGTTAGTAGCTAGTAATTCGGTGATTTTAAAACCACCGGAGTGATTGTACGGTCCTTTTGAATCACTCTGTATATTCTATGATAATGGGGGTAGGTGATATTAATTTTTTGTGTTGGTAAAAAACGCCGCTAGCTATAACTCTAAACAGGGATGTTCTAAAATGGTCGGATTAATTGTACTCAAACTACCGGGTGACTGTAAATGATTGTGATTTTTTATCTCAAGATGGTGTCAAATTTAAAATTTTATTTTGGCAACCCTGCTTTTCAAATTCAAATGTCAAACTTTGCGACGGGTGACTGTTGATTTAGTCATCCTGATATAACAAATTGAAGGGATTGCCAATAATTCAGTGTTGCCAATAGATTTTTTGTCATGAACATTAATAGTCACCCAGTAGAGCAAAATTTATGTTTAATTGCTTAAACAATTAGGAAATCTGTCTGAATCGAAAAAAATAATAATTTATTTATTTTAACGAAGTTTCGGCTTTCGGCAATTTTTATCTACCAGTCTGTAAATATTTTTTAATAATTATAATTGGTAAAAGGAGTTGTAACATTTCTTGCAATCACATTTTCCTCTTTTACACTTATTGCTTAACCCAATTATTTTTATTCCGATTTATTGTTACGTTTATTTCAAGATTTTTAGAAACGTTACAATTTCTTGTTTTTTTTTAATTCCACATTATCTAGTTTACACGCAATGTAGTGCATGTGCTTAGCTTAATGTGTAGGGGCCGTCCCAGTGGAACCGAAAGCGAAACTGAAGAAGAGGGCAGCCGTTCTGGTCAAGCCCGTTACTCACATTCTACACATTTGCCATAGTAAGTAGGCACAAGCATGTCGCTCTTGCACTTGCACCCTTGCTGTCTCATTGCTATGTAGACTCTCGTCTTATAGTTTCACAATCTTCCGTTTCTCACTCGGTGTGATTTAACACTAACACTATCGGACATTTTCCGTTACAAGTTTTACAATTTTTCCTAATTTCTTGTAGCGTTTCGTTCGAAGGCCATTCGGAGAAGAGGAGGAAAAGGGGCAGCTTGTTTTTCAGGAAGAAAAAGGTACGTTCCCGGTTGCTAATAAGAGAATTCTAACACGTGTTGTAGGACAAGAATAAGAAAATTGCCCATCAATGGGTTTCGGCGTGTTATGGATCATCGCAAATTTGCGATGTTTGTGCTAAGCATTTGAGCAATAAACCGGCACTTTATTGTGAATGTAAGTGGAATTTTCACTTTTTTTGGGGGAAATGTAATGATTCAATTATAGGTTGTGGAACTACAGTGCATCAAAATACTTGTAAAGACAACATAGCAGAATGTAACAAACCTAAAAACACGAAGGTAAGAGCTGTACTGGAGTAGATGTTGTAGTCAGTGTTGACAGACCAAAAACATAAAATTCACCAGATCCGAGTTGAAAAATTTGACAAATTTTCACCCTATTACCAAAATCTCGCGAAAAAAGGCAGTTTTCAGCTTGAAAAAAGCAAAAATGACATGCTTTTAGGCCTAATTCTGTGATTTTTCGGGTTTCTAGCTGAAAAAAAAAGCAAAATAATGAAATTCTAGATTTAATTTCCAGAGGTTTTAGTACAAAAAAACGTGCGTAAAAGCATTTTCGGTCAAATTTTGTGGTTTTTTGGCTTATTTTTGCTCAAAACTAGTTAAATCGAGTGAAACAAACAAAATAACATCAATATCTATCCTGTTTGTGATATTTAGACGTGTTTGAACAAGATTTTGCAAAATAAATGGACGAAACAAGCTAAAAAATGATATCAATTTCGATTTAATTTTGTAATTTTTTTGCCTGCTCCAACGAAATTTTTAGAATTTTCCTTGTTTTTATCAAAAATTACCCCGTTTTTGGTCGAATTTTTGAATTTTTCGATGGTTTTTAACGAAATTTTGCTTTTCTAGATGAAAAGTATTCGAAAAGACAAAAATAAATCGTCATTTTCGATCCTGTCGAGTTCAATGCAATATTTCGAACTTTTTGTGTTTTCATCTCTTAAAACCATCCCTAAACACTCGAAAATGACAAAAAACGCCGTTTTTGGGCTACTTTATTGAATTTGTGACTTGTTTTTGACAAAATTTTGCAAAAGAATTGTGTTTCTAGCTGAAAAAGCATTCGGAAAAACTAAAATAGGTAAATTGTCATTTTCGACTCTGTTTAGTAATACGTATATCTTGTACAAAAACAAATATTTTATTTAGAACTATTTTTAACCAATTTGGTGGTTTTCGATAATTTTTTCTTCGAGAAAATTTGACGAAATAATCAAGTTAAAGCTTAAGAGTTAGGTAAAAATATCATAATATAATCTTTTTATAACAATTTGGTGATTTTTAACACGCTATGGCCAACTCTCACGAAAAAAACAGAATTTTCAGCTTAAAAGTCTGCTTGAACTTTCAAAAAACGAAAAAAAAATATTTTTGAACTAATTCTGTGTTTTTTTATTCGTTTTTACCCATTTTTGCGAAATAATTGAGTTTCTAGCTGAAAAACATGCTAAAATGCTCAAGAATAGCAAAATTAATGTAATTTTCGACTTAATGTTGATTTTTCAGTTCGTTTTAGCAAAATCGCAAAAAAAACTGATTGTAATACTTTTGTATTACAATTACTTTTGTACATGCTTAAAAAAATTCTCGCCTTATGTTGCTCAAATCGAGTAAAACAAACAAAATAACATCAATATCAATTGTTTTTGTGATTTTTAAGCGTATTTGGACAAGATTTTGTAAAATAAATGAGCCTCTGCTTCAAAAACGAAGTAAATGGAGCGGAACAAGCTAAAAATAATATAAATTTCGATTTAATTTTATAATTTTTTTGCCTGCTTCAACTAAATTTTTATAATTTTTTTTGTTTTTATCTCAAAAACGTGCTTAAACACTTGAAAAAGGCAAAAATAACGCCGTTTTTGGTCGAATTTGTTGAATTTTTAAATTATTCTTAACGAAATTTTGTATTTCCAGCTGAAAAAATATTCGAAAAAGACAAAAATAAATTGTCATTTTCGATCCTGCTTAGTAAAATCTTGTAAAAAAAAAAGAAAAACAGAATTATTTTTAACTAATTTGGTGGTTTTTTGGCTTTTTTGAAAAAAATTGACGAAATAATCAAGTTTCTGGTTGAAAACGTGGAAAATTCTCGAAAAACAGTTTTTTTTTAATTTCAAAAAATCACCAGATAGAATTTTTACAAAAGTTTTTACCAAAAAAAATTCACCAAACCTAGCAACACTGGCGGTAATAACCTAGTGTAATTTATGTTTTCAATGTTGGTGACAACTAAATGTGTTCAGTATTGTACCAAAAGCGCAAAATAGTTTCAAATATTCGGCTATTTTTTCTATTATGATAATATTTGACAGTTAAAATTTTTGACATTTGACGTATGCGGTACTCAAATTGTTTCTAAAAACATTTGTCATTGAAAACAGTCGCATAAAATGCCCATTGTACCACCGAAATAAAAAAAGGTCTTATTTTTTTGTTTTATTACTTCTACAAAATAGTTTTGCCCGATTTTGCTGCGCCACTGCACTCATGTGTTGTTCAACTCGCCGCTACGCGGCTCGTTGTTTGATGTTCTCTTAAATTTTAATTTTATTTTCAGAATAGTAACAAAATGTCTGGATTCGGTGTGCCAAACTCTAAAAACTCGTTCTCCAAACGTGGGTCTGCGTCAGTGCCTGGAAATGTAAATAGTACGTCGACCAGGTGAGTGGCGAAAAACCTCGAAATTAACGTTAAAAACCAAAACGACAATAAATAATATACCCAAAACGTCGATTTAATCGAAGATGTTTATTTGTTAACTGTGTAGGAGAGTTTTATTTAGATACTTTAAATCTTAGATTTTTGTAGTGTTGGCGAATTGGCATGTTCTTATGAGTACTAAAAACTAAGTATTTAAAATACAACTTGAGTCCTGCATATTTTCCACTTTATGGTTGTAAAATTTGTTGAATTAAAAGAGTTAACTTTGTGTTTGTGTATTAACTCTTTTAATGCGAGTTCTTCACTAGTAAAATCGACGTGACAATCTTCATCCGTTTTTCAAACTCCACTATACCTGATGTAAAACTACATGCTACACAGTATTCTCTGACTTTTCTTCTTTTGCTTGATTTTCCCTGAGATGTTGCTGGCTTTTTAGCGTGTCGTATTTTAGTTGGGTTTCGAGCGCAAGGATGTCCGTGTTATGTATATGTTTGCTTCTTTTTGTGTTAGCTTTGTGTACCGGTGGGTGTCGATTAAAGTTGTGTGTGTGTGTGGTGTGTGTCTTACTAATCGAAAGTTCGAACGAAACATCACTCTTCCAATTTAATTGAGAAATATTCAAGGTGGTTTTGTCAGTTCACGTAGTAAGGCACATAGAGGTGCACTTAGAGGGTGTGGCTAATCTGTTGCCTGTTACCCGCCCCTCCCCTAGGAGGAGTCAGTTCTGCTATTCGCCTTGGCGCAGGGTTGCCACCAAACTGGGAGTGAAGTAAGTCCCCTCACCCCCGCATCCTAACACCCGAAATCAAGTGCTTTCACTTGTGGCCTTCCAGGATCACGGTTCCACTATGACGCTTCAAAGTAAATTTATTTATTTATTAGTTAAGGTGGCAACAATGAAAAAATTGAAACAAGGTCTTGTACACTTTTCAATGTTACCAACTTAATTTTAAAATCATAAGCCACTTTGGTGGTGTAGTATGGAAATTGTTTTTTATTAGTAATAAAGCTTTGTAAAAGAAATACCATAAGTTGCCAACCCTGGAAACATGCAGACAGAAGAATAGATATAAAAATTGTCAAGTTTTATATTTTATTATTAAATGTTGCCAACTTTATTTTAAAGTCGCAGTATTCTGTTGACATTTAATTTAATGCAAAACAGTCTTTAGTTAATAACCTCATTTTTAATTTGTCAATGATGTAGTTGTCAGTGATGTTCCTAACTTTTTGACATTTTGAAAAGTCACATTTGACGTTAAAGCCTGCTTTACAGTGAATTTTCCGACATTTTGACGTTTTGAAAAGCCAAATTTGACGTTAAAGTCTGTTTTATAGCGAATTTTTAGGTGTCAAAAATAAATGTCACGTTTTTTATCCGGTATGTTAACTTTAAACAACAATAATTTTGTCATCACTTAATTTTGGTGAAAAATAAGAAACAAAAATATAATTTTTTTAACAATTAACTGTTAGACAAGGATAGGGTAATTTCAAATTTGATGAAAGAAGAAAGAAAGAGAAGATAACAGATCTCTTGATCGTGGACAATTAAAATTCAACTTTAAAATAACGTCATTTCAGCAATTTTTGCAGAATTACGCCAAAAAAGGACCGACATTTTTTCCTGTGTAAAAATAAATGATGTTTTTGACGTTTTGAAAAGTTAAATAAAAATCAAGCCCGTTTTATAGTGAATTTTCAGATGTCAAAGATAAATGTCACGTTTTTTATCCGGCATGGTCATTTTGTCATCACTGTTAGACAAGGATAGGGTAATTTGAAATTTCATGAAAAAAGAGAGAAATGAAGATAACAGACCACTTGACCGCGGACTATTAAAATTCAAATTAAATTTTTTTTTATTTCAGCAATTTTTGTAGAATTACGCCAAAAAAAGTACCGGCATTTTTTCCTGTGTCATTTTTACTGTTTTTGTTTTTTATCTTCTTTTTATATTTTTTTAAGTCATTACAAAAAGAAATAAAATAAATAAATGATGTTTTTGACGTTTTAAAAAGTCAAATAAAAATCAAATTTGGGTTAAATTTTCCGACATTTTGACTTTTTGAAAAGTCAAATTTGAGGTTAAAGCCTGCGTTACAGTGATTTTTCCAACATTTGATGTTTTGAAAAGTCGAATTTGACGTTAAAGCCCGTTTTATAGTGAATTTTCAGATGTCAAAAATAAATGTCACGTTTTTTATCCGGCATGGTAGCTTTAAATAACAATAATTTTGTCATCACCTACTAATTTTTGGTTAAAAATAAGAAACATAAATATAAAATTTTTAACAATTCACTGTTAGACAAGGATAGGGTAATTTGAAATTTCATGGAAGCAGAGAGAAAGAGAAAACAGACCACTTGACCGCGGACTATTTATCAAATTTAATTTTTTTTTATTTCAGCAATTTTTGTAGAATTACGCCAAAAATACCGGCATTTTTTCCTGTGTACATTTTTACTGTTTTTGTTTTGTACTACCTTTTTAAAAATTTTGAAGTCATTACAAGTAAAAATAAAATAAATAAGTGATGTTTTTGACGTCAAATTTGACGTTAAAGCCTGTTTTATAGTGAATTTTCAGAAGGTGGCATAAATAAGTGTCACGTTTTTTATCCGACATGGTAACATGAAACAACAATAATAATTTTGTCATCACTTACTAATTTTAGTTAAAAATAAGAAACAAATATAAAAATTTTAACAATACACTGTTAGACAAGGATAGGGTAATTTCAAATTTGATGAAAGAAGAAAGAAAGGGAAGATAACAGACCACTTAACCGCGGACTATTAATTTTCAAATTTAAAAAATGTCATTTCAGCAATTTTTGTAGAATTATTATTATTATTAATTATTACTAACTTAATTTTTAAAATTATAAGCCACTTTGGACGCAAAAAGAAGTATGTGGTGGTTTGGAAATTGTTTTTTATTAGTAATAAAGCGTAAAAAAATAATAATAAGTTGCCAATCCTGAAAAAATTGAAACAGAACTAAGAATGGATATAAAAATTGTCAAGTGTCATATTTTATTATTATTTATGGACAACTTAATTTCAAAGGCGCAGTGCAGTCTACCTTGATTAGAAATTTAATTGAATGCATGGTATTTGTTCAATTTGTACCATCGTAGACAAAAAAATGGGACAAGATCATTCTGTTGACATTAAATTTAATGCAAAAGTGTTTAGTTAATAACCTCATTTGTAATTTGCCACTTATGTAGTTGTCAGTGTTGTTTATGACATTTTGACGTTTTGAAAAGTCAAATTTGACGTTAAAGCTTACTTTACAGTGAATTTTCCGAAATTTTGACGTTTTTAAAAGTCAAATTTGACGTTAAAGTGAATTTTCAGAGGGTGTCAAAAATACATGTCACGGTTTTTATACGGCATGGTAACTTTAAATAACAATAATTTTGTCAGCATTTACTCATTTTGGTTAAAAATAAGAAGCAAGGATCTTATTGACAGGATTTTTTAATTAGAGCCTGAGATAAAATTTCTAACAATTCACTCTGAGACAAAGATAGGGTAATTTCAAATTTGATGAAAAGAGAGAAAGAGGAGATAACAGACCATTTGACTGCGAATTACTAAATTTCAAATTTGAAAAAAATGTCATTTCAGCAATTTTTGTTAAAAAAAGGACCGCATTTTTTTGTTGTACAAAATGTACATGTTGTTTTGAACCTTCATTTTATATTTCTTTTAAATTATTACAAATAGAAATAAAATAAATAAATAAGCAAGATTTTTATGCTATAGCCGTACTTTAAACCGTCATATGGAACCGTCAGCAAGCCTTTCGTTTCACCTCTTCTCTTCATATCAGTGCTCTTTGGAGCATCATAACTCTCTCAACTCTAACTTTCCAGTGGTTTTTTTTGCACTCGTTCATGCAAAGGTATATTTTTTTACTCTAATTCAAGCGGTTTTTGTTTCGAATTTTCGTTTCGCACAATTTTCATAACGCTTCTGCGCATGCTTTGATTTTATCGTTTTCGCTCTACACCTACCAACATACAATGTGTCTCACAAAATCAACATTTTCTTTTTATTTACGAAATTTTATAGTTGGATTTTGCTTAAAATCAATTCGGTCATCGAACCTCCTCGCCAACCTCTTCGTTATCTTAATTTCTCGTTTCAGCCAAATTTTATGTGATGATAAGGATAGCGATTTGCACGGACACTACGACGGAACGAGGTAAGCCCCCTTACCCACTCGGACAAGCGCTTTTCACGCTGTTTTACAGTTTTCCAGACGACGTTCCGCTGGTTCCCCTCGAATTCCTCTCCGACTCGCCGATAACAGCGGCGGAATTGTGCGCCGATCTGTCTTTGGGTTTGCACGAGAACGAACCTGACTCGTGGACGCCCCACGTGGGGAAGGAAATCTCCAGGAAATTGAAGGAAAAGGAAGTGAAACGCCAGGAACATATCTATGAGTTTATTCTGACTGAAAAGCATCACTGTATGACGCTTCTTGTTATGCAAAAAGTAATGCGTTTGGCGGCGAAATCGACATTTCATTTACGAATTTTCTCAGGTTTTTGTTGAAGGGCTACAAAAGTATTTCCAATTGGGGGCCAATGTGGAGCGGATGTTCCCCCGCTTGGCCGACTTAACGGAGCTCCATTTGGGGCTGCTGGCGCGTCTGAGGCAGCGACAACGCGAAAGTCCGGTCGTCTCCACCATCGCGGACATCCTGCTGGAGCAGTTCTCCAACACCAACGCCTCCAAACTCAAGTCTGCTTACGGTAAATTGTTGTATAGGCAACCAATTATACATTTAAATAATTTGACATTTGACGTAATTTATGAAATTGAACATTTTTTAATTAATTAAGGTACGATCAACGGAAAAACAACATTGTAATAAACTCTTGCATTAAACAACAATTAATCCACTTGTTTATTAAATAATTAGGTAGTTCATCACGCATCACATATTAGGTAGTTTTCTATGTTATCGACATGTCAATTACGACAAAGATAGAGCTATACAAGTTATAATAGGGAAGAGTGAGACAGATAGTGCAACAAATTTTTTAACGTTTTTTCAAAATATTGTTTTTTCAGGTGAATTTTGCAGCAGGCACCGGGACGCCGTGGAGCTGTACAAGTATTACCTGCAAAACGACGCCCGTTTCGGTCAGTTTGTGCGCCACTGTCAAGCGAACCCCCTTTTGAAGAAGAAGGGCATTCCCGAGTGCATTTTGTTCATAACCCAGCGCCTAACCAAGTACCCCCTCCTGATCGAGCCCCTGATTAAGACAAGCAAAGAGAACAAGAAAGAGCAAGATGTCCTCCACAAAGCCTTGGCTCTGATCAAAGAAATCCTCGTGGAGGTGGACGCCCAAGTGGCCGAAAAGGAGAAAGAAGACCGCAAATTGGAAATCTACAACCGAATCGACGCGAAATCGTACACAGTCCACCGCGATCACAAGTTCAAGAAATCGGACATTTTGCAAGGAAATCGCTCACTGAAGTTCGAAGGCGTGGCGATGTTGATGCAAGGCAGGGGCAAAATGCAGATCGTTCTGGTGATTGTGCTCTCCGATGTGCTGTTTTTTCTGCAAGAGAACTCGCACAAGTACTCGTTTTTCACCCCCGATAACAAGGCCGGCGTGGTGTCTCTGCAGAAGTTGTTGGTGCGCGAGAAGGCCGGGCAGGACTCCCGGGGGATTTACCTGATTTCGTCGAATCCGGCCGACCCGGAAATGTTCGAATTGAAGGTGCACAAGCCGAAGGACAAGCAGGTTTGGATCCATGCAATACGGTGAGTCGGTTTCCAAAAGTGGTGCCAACACGAAAAAAATTAATTTTTAAGGGAGGCTGTGCAGTCCTGTCCCGAAGACGACGAGGACAGCAGCGTTTTGAGTGCGGAGGAGAGACAGAGTCTTTTGAATGCGAAACAGATTCGGCACTTTGTCGGTAAGTGTCGCCACTACCACCAAAACCCCATCATGTATAATAAATCAGAACATCTCATGTTGTGTTAGTGCATGCATCACTCACTACCTCACCATTAGCTTAATTACTTTGATAGAGAAAGATATGCGAGTGTAAACTTTTGTGTCTGTTTCCGACAGATGCAGAATCGGATGTCGAAGGTAACTTCATTGATTTAAAGGCATGGCATTTCCGGATCGCGATTTATCGAATAAATTCACTTGAATAAATCTCGAGCCGGAATTTTCGTATTTCGGTTGTTATATTTAATTTCAAAATGAAACATCTGGGAAAAAATTGTTCACTGGCTAACTATGTTGTCTTACGAAAAACGATTTTTTCCAATTTGAACTTAAAATGATTGAAAATTAATTCTATGCACACACGAAGAAAGACTTTGAAATTAAGTTGGTAACATGTCTCTGACATGGCCGTCACTTAATACAAGTTTGGTGGTGCCAACTTAATTTCAGTCAACGTCACTTTAATAACTACTTTTTACAATTCTTTTAACATTGATTTTTGAGTAATTATTAGTGAACCTAAAACCTTAAATTACCATTAAATTTGTGAATAGTTCTTTCCCCGATTCTACATTACTTAAAATAAACGTGTTTTTGGTACATTTCATTAGAACTTTGTTATCCTTTTTAAAATAGGTGCATGAATTTTAATATTGTGTTTTGATTTTGTGTAGAGTTTCATTACAGTAGAAATTTTACATTACAAACCACAATACAACAAAAACTAACCTTATTAACTTAAAAAAACACCTCTCTCAAAGCTATTTTTATTAACAAAAAATATATTGATTATGCAATTATTATACTGTGTGCCCAAAAACTGTGCACAATTCAGTTTTCGACATTATTCAAATTAAAAAAAAAATCTTCTACAAACTTTTACCTGACTCGAGCTTTGTACCGTGCGATCAAAAAAAAAATAAATTAGAGTAGACGACGATTAATATTCTGCAGTTGGCAACACGTTGGCTGGGAATCTGGGCTGGAAATTTTCGACACAAACTGAAAGTGAAAATGGCGATTCACCGTTTTCGTATTGTACAGCAATAAAGATTTTCTGCTCGAAAGTGAACATTATTTCACTTAAAATGAATAAAACGCACACTTTGTCAAAGTTTCCGCTGACATTTGATGTCAAAAATCAGGATTGCCATCTAAAGGACTTTAATCACCGCCTACTCTAATTTATTTACGGTAGTATTAAGTGCAGTGAAATCAAAAAGTCTTTCTATCAAGGAAGCCTTGAAATTTAACGGAAGATAAAATGTGTTAATGACAGATGAGAAATGTCAATATGATTTTTATGTATCACAATTTATATGAATAAACACTGACAATATCTCATTTTAAGATGTGTTGAGAGGTTTCATAGAATAATTCAACTTTTGCTTAGATCAATATTATAATTTTTTGACATCTAGGTGACATACGAACTGGGATGCGATATACGTCCTCAACCAGTACGCCTACTTGATAGGACGTTTTAATCGTCCTGTCACTGTACAATTCCGGACACGGAATTTTGAACGATTTGTCATACAAATTTGACATAAAAATGTAAAACTGCCTTTATGTAACTAACCTCACTTTCAATCTTTGTAATTTCACTAGACACTAGACAGCTAGAGAAAAAATGAAAATAAATTAAAATAATTTATTGAACCATATAAAAAACGTGACATATAAAAACCGAAATTAAAGAAACTAATATTTAGTCATTCTTGTATCTGAAAATCGACGTCAAAAATAAATTTCAACTAAAACTTTCACATTTTTTTCAAACGTCAATCATAATAAATTATTAATAATTTAAAAGTAATACAAAGATGCGGAGGCGAAGTCTAGCTTGAAGCTATTCAACTTAACTTCTAAAGAAAATTAATAGAAAAAAAAACAATTAAAACATAAAAATAAAAATAATTATTATAAACAATATAAAATTTAAAATTAAATAAATTCGGAAGTTACTTAATAACTAAAAGTAAAGAAAGAAATCATTGCCAGTCTCTCAAAAACAAAAAGAAAAAACAAGAAAGAATTCTTTAAGAAGAAATGAAAAAAAAAAACAAAAATTGAACAGAAATAAATTCTTTTGCATTTATTTTTAACATCAGTTATCCAACTCAGTTTACTCAGTTGAACAAAGTTAATTATTCAAAAGCAAGTTCTTAATTTGACTCTTGAACGTAAACACTGAATAATGAGAATAAAGCATGGCTTACATTTTACATTGACATTTTTTGAATTGGCAACAATGTGATGTCCAAAATTTCGTGCCCGCAATTGTATGTAGGTAGATACTACTGCAACAAAAAAATACGACTTCGGCATTAGAAAAAAAATCTCCTTTGTGAAGTGGTTTTATAATTATGTATTTGATAAATTTATCATTTTAGACATTTGTATATACAGGGTGCGCCAGAATTCGCGCCCCAGAGAAAGATGCCAGGAACATGGAAAAAATGTTAAAAAAAAATTATCTATGAAAATTTCGAAGTTATGAGTTATGCACTTTGACTCTATTTATTTCTATTGGAAAAATAATTTTCAAAGTTTTTTTGCTACAGGCTATTAGAAGAGAAAACACGGAAGCTGTATCCTAAATTGTAACTCTGTATAATCTTATATGTTGCTTTTATTGGCAAGATTTTTGTACTTTTATTAAATAATCGTAAAAAAAGACAAATACAAGATCATCAGTATCATTAAATAGACATAAAAAATGTCAAATGTCAAAAAATAAATGTCAAAATTTTTTGACAGATGGAAAACATTTTTTTCATGTTCCTGGTATCTTATGTTACTTGAAATTTTTCTCTTGGGCGCCTATATATTGATGATAATTAACCACAACCACATTGTTAATTTAAGAAAGTTTGTTTCCAATAGTAAAAAACTGAAAATCTCAGTTGTTTTATATTTGGAAACTGACAAATCTTTTAACAACTATTACCATGACAAGCAAAAAGTGACCGCCATCACAAAAATGCTCCTTTGTGAATTGGTCTTAGTTGACATTTGTACATGCAATTTCTTGACGCTGATGACATTTACCACAATCATACGATGAAAATTTTAAATTTTTACAATTGCGATCATAAATCCGTAATTACATCATAAAAAAATTCAAACAAGTTTACTTACTTACTTTTTGTCCGATTTTCTAACATCACACTGTTTTAACGTTTCTTTTATTTTTTACATTTTTGCTGGAATTTGAACGAACTTTAACTTTCCTGTAGTTACGACAATGTGGATGCATGATTGTTCTCATATAGTTGCAATGTACGAATAGAAAGAAACTGTCTTAAGCTCTCTCGAATCTAGTTTTGACTCCATTTGTAGGTCTTTTGCGTCAAAAAGACATAGAACAGGCGCTTCTTCTAGAGGAAAAAATGTCTCTACAATTGAAGCTATTGAGTGCCGCTGGCATCGACCCCCCATCCCCTTCGTCGTATCGCCAACTCGTGAGCGAAAATGTGGACACTGGTCAGATGTGGAAGGAAGTTTTAACAGCAGTGCAGGTAAAAATTTTAAAAAATTAAAAAATCAAAAACAAAACAATTTTTGATATGTAGGAAGTCAACCGATTGGTCAGTTCTCTATACACCACTGGCACGAATCTCTCCAGAAGTGTGAGTTCGGCGGGGGAGCACCAGAGTGAGACTTACGTTTCTCCAATTCTACCAAAACGTGCCGAAACTTTCGGTGGCTTCGACAATCCCAATCAACCACCGGTGAAAGTCCCAGGAAAGAAGAATCACTCATCGGGGGGCACTCCAGTGGCCACGCCCGAAGTGGAAACGGTCAAGCCTGGCGACTCCAAACTTTTCGTAAGTTAATCCTGAAAATAACAATTTTTCTACTACCCCTTTTCAGGAAAAACTCCCCTACCGAAACTACGTTATTCCGACGACGATTGGAAGCGCCAATAATTTAAATATGGAAAATTCGCAGCAATTGGCGGCGGCCCCCGACGCCCCCGCCTTGCTTTCCTTGGGGCGAGAACAGCAATACACGGCCGTTAAATTGTCGCATTATGTTTATACTCTTCTTTGTATTATTTCGCAGTTGATGACTACAAATGAAAGGTATATTATCGTATCGACAAGAAATTACTCCCTAGGATTTAGGGATATTCGTAAATAGGTTGCCACAGATTTGGTCAGGGCCGTAACCAGGATTTTATTTCGGGGGGGGTGTCTTGTTGGTCCATGAAAATTAAATGAAAGAAGGCGGATTAAAAAGCAAAAATCTCTAAGTACACGTTTTTATTTTAAATTGAAATAAGAGATCCTAATTAAACATAAAAAAATACAAATTAACTCACAAAAGTAACAAAAAATAAAATAAATTTTTAATACTTTTTATTGTTACAAATTTAAACAGGAGATAGATTTTCTATGAACATATTTCGAAAAATGCTACGCAAGGGATGCGTCTTTTAATAGGTTGTTTTTCAATATTTCCGAAATCATTTTAGAAAAAAAATTTCAAAATTTGGTACACCTTTTATACACCTAAACAAGTACAAAAATAAAATGTTAAAATTTTTAATTAGGGGCTTACTAAACTAGATGGGGTTAGGGTACGAATTTACTTTAACTATTTTGCCTATGGTTTCTTGCCACATTCAGCAACAAAATTTCATATTTTTTCATAAAAAAACGTCTTTTGTGTTTTTCCGATACAATTTACGGATTTTTAGTAAATATCGGTTTAAAAATTTATACTACAGACCATAAACAGCATAAAAATTAAAAATTAAATTTGTTTTACCGTTTAGGACGCCCCTAATTAAAAATTTTGTTATTTGGCATTTGTTTAGGTGTACATATAAAGTTACCAAATTATGTAATTTTATCTATTCTGAAATATTAGGAAAAGCCCTTTAAAAAAAAGTAAAAAAAAATTAAATATTCTATCAACTATTTAAATTTGAACCTAACAATAAAAATGAAACACTGTATAATTAACACATGAAAAATTAATTCACAAAAATTTAAAATTAACTCACTAAAATAACAAAAAAACTAAATTTTTAACACTTATAACACTATATAACAAAGTGCATTTCGTTGGGGGGGGAGGTTTGAACTCCTTAATCCCCCCCTTGGGTACGGCCCTGGATTTGGTTAGGTTGGTTTTTAGTGACACACAAAAGATATCGTAACTAGTGTCAAAAATTTAGGTCACTTGTCAGTTTGTATAAATGGCTCAATTGATAGTTGACAGAAAACGTCAACCGTCAACAACAAGGGATAACCAACCCTAAGCACTTAAAATTACTTCTGAAAATTCTAGTTACAAACAACGTGAAAAACGTAATTTTCCTAAAAGTTCAAATCCTAGGTGGTAAATTCTTGTTGACAAATCTTTAGAAATGATTGACATCTCGGTAGGCATTGAGAATGTAAATCAGGCTTTAATTTTAGTTCAAAAAGTTACTAATGTGAACATTCTTTAGATCACGATACTTCATAAAAAATGACATTTCAGTTGAATTCTGTCAGAAAAAATAACATAATCTATTTGTCTAAACGAAATATGTATGTTTTGATTATGGTTTTGGTGAATATAGAAGAAACGTGCAGTGACTGCAACCGTACAAAAATAAACAACCTAGAACTGTGAAAATACCAATGTTGCCATCTTAAATTTGAATTTTCATGACCTACCGAGATGTCAATCATTAGTGAAAATTCGCTTTTGGCGAAAAAATAATAATTATTTTTTAGTTATCAAGCTCAATTAAATGCCTTAAAAGTCGGTGGGGAGGGAGCAAGACAATACAGACACAATCAGCAATTAGAAGAATTAAGAAATTTACAAGACAAGTTGAGTGGTGAAAAAGCAGCCTGGATTGCGACCAGAGACCAGGAAGCTAAAGAATTGGAAGAGAAAAAAGCGGAACTTTTAAAATTACAAGTAGGTTTTTGCTTTTTTTAAATTTTAAATTTTAAAATTATTGTATTTTATAAAAATAATTGCTTCAATCTTAATTTTAGGCTGAAATAAAGGAATTTATCATATGTTCAATCGATTTGGCTCAATTTTAAGTTGGAAATCAACCTGAATCAAAGTATTTCAACCAAATACTCTCTTCAATAATAGTTTATTATTATTAAAAAAAATTGAATCCAAAATAGCTCAAATTACTTTAATTTGGAAGAAAACACTTGCTTTATTTCAACCTAAAATTAAGATTAAAGCAATTATTTTTATAAAATACAATAATTCCGAATTAATTCTGTATTAAAATCGAGCAAAATTTAATTGAAAATAGCTTAAATTGCTTTATTTAGCCTAAAATTGGAATTGAAGCGATTATTTTAATTTTGTATTGATTCTATTTTTTAGGAGCAAATTCGAATCGAACAGGAAGACATTAAAGAGCAAAGAGAGCAACTATTCCGTAAAATGGAGAAGCTAACAAACAAAGGTTTGATCATTTCCCCCAACGTGGGGGCTCTTTCCTTGACCGGTCAACTCGACGACTGCAAAGACAGTTCCGAGGACAGCCCCCAGTCGGACAGTTCAACTTCGATAGCTTCGTCAGCAAGTGGTCAAAATTCGACAATGGACAAGAAAAAAGACAGTAAATGGAGCAAGAGTAAGTTGGCGATTTATCAAAATCTCAATTACAGTTTCCTGTTTTTAGATACTCAAACCAAATCGCAGTTGCCGATGAATCTGATCAGCACCACCAATCAGCAGAAGGCGCAACAGAACGTCCAAGTGAAGCAGCAGATTCCGCTGAAACTGGCTTCGAGACTGAGCTCGAGTGGGCCTGTGGCCGGGTCGACAGGCAGCCCCCAGATTCTGCCCCTCAAGTTGAGTCAAGACGAGAAGGTCAGGCGGACGAGCACCTCGGGGTACCAGCGATTGAGTCCCCCATCGGGCGAAACCGTAATTGGATCCGATTCTGGATTCACTTTACTTTGATTCGTTTTCTAGACCCCGACGACGTCTCATTCGCACACCAGGACCGGCTCGAGCCCCGCCACGATGCAGGTGTCCCCGCCGGGGCCCGCGCCTTCCCACCAAAACACGGCGAGTATGAAAGGGGCGCGGCAGACTTTCCACAAAATCGGCGACGAAGAGGTCATTTATTTCTGACGGTTTTCCACGAAAATGTTCAATTCGGTATCTTTGTTTGTACGGAGATGTAAAAGAGATAACACGAATTTTTATTAATGTTGACGCAGTCTTTCAGTCGATTTAAATAAAACGTTTCGTCTTGGGGTTAACAAGAGTCGTTGCCGGTCTTTAAAAATTTCTCAGGTGAAATAAAGTGATCATGTGGTAATAAAATTCAAATCCGGACCTGTTTTCGAGCATTTTCACGCCGAATTCGAACCGAGAAATACCCGAGATTTTTTTGGAGTAAGTGGACAAAATTACTTAGAAGCCGGTTTTCTAGCGTTCAATATTTTAGGTTATTTCAGTTTCTTGGGGTGGCGTTAAGATCATTTATTATTCTTAAATAATGTTTTATCAATAAAATTAATGTTAATTTGTAACCAATCTAAAACGTTTAGCCAATCAGGGTGACAAATTCTTGAAATCAAACCTGAAATTCTTTGAGATTTTAATTTCTTGGGTTGGCATTAACATTTTTTGTTTTTATTTAAAAATCCACAAAAATAGTGGTCTTTAAAATTCTTGAGAAAGGAGTATGTGAGCAAAATTACCTAATTAGCTGTCATTTTTCTAGCATTTTTCAGTTCGATATTTAGGTTTTTTTAGTTTCTTGGAGTGGCATTAAAATCAATTTTTTTTATTCTCAAATAATGTTAAGTTAATAAAATTAGTATTACTTTAGCATTCTAGGAAATTAAGCATTGAAAAAAACGGGTAAATAATTTTTTAATTTCAGCTTTTTCGATGTAGAGATATGACATTTCTCAGGTTGGCAACAAATTTAATATCCCATTACAACAACCTTGATTTATTACAAGATTAAATTATTGACGGCTACACTTTGGAAATGATTGACAATTACCTATAAAAGTGTGACGTTTGTATTTGACAATCAAGGTTGCCAAACTAATAATTTTTCAAAATGTTACTTGTTATTTAAAAAAAATATCAATTTGAGCTATTTTCAAGCGATTTGAGTGCCGCATATGTCAAATGTCCATTTTAAAGAGCTCTCAATAGAAAAAATAGTATAAGAAACACGTGCTTTTTT